AAAACATGTTCTCAGTGCCTGTAAGAGGGGACTAGTGAGGACAGGACTACCGTGGCTATGAAAGATTTTGTGAAGCAGAAGCCCCTGGGATACCTCTACTGGCGATTTGCAGACAGCAATGAAAGGACACTAAAACCTCAGTGATTTATACACAGTAGGTCCATACATGTTTGTTAAATAAATAAATGGACAGATGGATGGTTTAATTATTTGATATAGCGTTAAGGGGGGGGGTGTTAAAGATTAACATGATGCAAAGCTTTGTTCCTAATACCAATAATTAAATGTAAAAGGAATCAGGATTAGTATGTTGGAAAAAAACTAAAGGATAAGCCATTTAAGGTTTTTAAGTCTGTAAAGCAATGGAATAGAGTGGAAGTTACCAAAAAGGAAAAAGCTTAAATCAGAAAGGTCTGAGCTCTTACATGAATTGAGGAAGTTCAATATAAAATTGGAAGAATGCACTGGACATGTTGGTACATGCTTATAATTCCAGCAGTCTGGAAGACGGAAGCAGGAGGATCACAAGTTAAAGCCAAGCCCAGGCAACCTAGGTACTTAGCAAGACTGTTTTTTTGTTTTGGTACCGGGGATCAAACTCAGGTCTTTGAGCTTCCACAGCAGGCAGGGAAACCACTGGGCTAAATCCCCAGCCCAGACTGTCTTAATTATAAAAAATAAAAGGGCTGGAGGTGTAGCTCAGTGCAAAGACCCTGAGTTCAATCCCCAGTACTGGGAAAAAAATAGAAGAATGACTAAGCATGCTGATAATTTGGTGGCTTCTTAAGGAGTGTTAAAGTATGGACTCATCCTGAATCCTAACCTACCCAGAGTTTTTGCTGGCTCTGAGTTGATAGTTCAAAAGATGAATCAGAATTCATTTTGACTATTTTGGGAGGTGGGGGGGGGGTTATTAATTGTGCTTTACTAGTTACCTGGGACAACTTACAGACGCAGCTATTCAAATGAACAGTGTAGCCTGCAGTTACTTCACTTTTTGAGCTGTCCAGGGTCTTTTCCACTACCATGGATAACTACTGTTCCCTTAAAACTCCAGGATCTGCTAGGCAAGTAGTCTCATCTACAAGGTAAGATTAGTCAGATGGAAGAAGGTCTCCAAATTCAGTTCCTCTCCCCTCCTTCCTAGGCATCACCTTCTATTTTAGATCCATCATCAAGATTAATCTGCTTTATATTTATTACCTAAGGGCTGTGTGTCTGTGAAGAAGTTACATAGTATTTCCTCCTAGGACCTGGCATGCTGTTATAATTCACTCAAAAGAATTAAACTAGCCATGCTTCTGATTTTACCCATGTAGTGGGAAGCATTGAATCTAGTATAAGCCAAGAAGACAACCTCATTATCTGTTACACAACTTGTAGTACAAATGTACAAGTTTCCCCTTCCACATCCCAAATCTCTCTGAGAATCAAATTTTTTAAAATTATAATTAGCTGCAAATGGATAAATCTTGAAAACACTGTGCTAAGTGAAAAGCCACAAATTATGTGATCCCATTCCTATGAAATGTACAGAGTAGACAAATCTATAGAAACAAAATGTAGATTAGTGGTTGCCTAGGGCAAAAAGGGTGGAGGAGAAAGGGGGAATGAGGGGGTGACTCTTAAAGGTATGAGGTTTCTTCTTGGGATGATGAAAATGTCCTAAGATTAATACTGATGACGGTTTGTAGCTCTGTGAATATAAGCCATTGAATTCTATGTTATATGAATTTTGTCTTGATAAAGTTCTTACCAAAAGACGAATTTTTTTAAAAGGTAATATTTTACTATGCTGTGCAAGATACTCAGTAAATTAATCAGACATTACCAAATAGGCAACTAAAATAAAATCTCTAAGTCCTTTGTTGAACAGATGGAGTTTGTGTTCATTAAAATATATTTGATAGAGTGGAGCATAGTTTATTATTCCAAAAAATAATGTGTGTGAGCAAATAAGAACTGGGGGAAATACATCATCCCTGAACTATCACATCCTATCGTGGGTCTTGTTTTCAGGGAGAGGGGTCATTAACCAGGCTTCCTTGGCTGTTCCTGGGGACATCACACAGATGCAACCCCTCAGGTGAACAGTGTGGCTTCAGAACTGTCTCACACAGCATAGACACTGTGGCATGCCTTAGTGTCCAGGCATGGTAACCAAACTAATGTTATATGTACATTTTCCTCATTTGGGCATGTTGGCCAGCATGTTACTCATTTAGTGAGTATGAAAAGAGAGAAAAGATGGAGACACTGAAATTAAATAGCAGGAAATGGGTTCTATAGGAGGATCTGTGAGCACTGTTGTTGTCAAGTAAGAGAAGAGAAGAGAAGCCCTATCTACCTAGTCATTATGTGTGGGATGTTCTTCCCTGGTAGAAATTATTTAATAATGAGTAATGGACTTAAACATAATGACTGATGTATCATAACTTGTGACTGACTGTTTGAGATAAATTAGATGGTTCAAAACTAGTATTGTAAAGAAAAGAAAGCGATGAGTAGGGTGCACTAGTATGATCACATAAGCAGCTGCCGTTAACTTAAGTAGACATTTCTGTAGGTTTGGTGATTTAAGACATTCAGTCACTTTCACCCAGCAAGAAAATAATCTAGGAGAAATAAGAGAGTAAAGCAAACCCCTCTCTCAGGGCAGTCAGACTATGAAAGGAGCCCATTCCACTTTCTGAATTACTGTTGGATTGCAGGACTTAACAAGAACCTTAAAGGTCAAACAGTTTGACTGCCTAAATAAATGAGCTACAGAAAAGAGGAAATCTTCAGTGCCCTGCTGTCAGTGCCGGAAGATAAAAGCAGCAGGTGTAGTGAGGTAGGATGAGGTATAGGGAGGGAAAGGTAAATCACACCCATCTTCCCAACAATGAGTAACAGTCTCAGCTGCCACACTGTGGCCCTGCCTAAGGCATGTCCCATAAACAACACAGTACCCAGCTGTATTACAGTTGATTCTTCACAAAAGATCAGAGGGAAATGGCCTGGACCTCTTTCTCCCTTGTCTCTGTACCTGCATTTCATACCAAGAACTGAAAAGTCTTCACTCTGTCAGATCAACTGTACCTAGTTGAGAAGTATAAGAAGTTAAGATGTAGCTCTCTTGACATCAATATGTAATCCATCTGTCTTTACCAGGAAGATGCATGTTTTAATAATTGTGTTACCATGTGTAGTTTAAAAATTACTTTCTAAATAAGTGTGTGTATGCCATACAAGCACATGAGCACCTATCCTCTCCACCACTTGTTATTATGTCATTTTCAGGAAAACCATCTTTGTGAATGTGAAGTAGTGTCTCACTATTTGATCTGCATTTTTTCTGTAATGATATTAAGCATCTTTTCATGTTTTTTCCTACATGTTCTCCTTTTTATATTATTGAAGAATGAAAATATTATATTATTGAAGAATGAAAGCTGGAGAAACAGAACTCAGTTGCTTATACATTTCCCAAAGAAAAAAATCATGTTCTGTTCATTTTTATCTTCTTAGTACCTACTGTGGTGTTTAGCACCTATGTAGTAGATGCTAAATGTTTGCTAATTAATGAATAGATGAGAGATTGAATAACACAAAAGCCATATCAGTTCCCTTTTTCTTGTCCAGATCCCTCCTAGATTCTCTTTTTAAAATGTCTGATGAGAGTTTTGAAAACCTTTACGTGAACTCAGCAGATAAACCATGGTTTGCATGCCAAAGTAAACTACAAAAAGCTGTGATATTTTAAAATATAATTTTATAGATTACCAAATCTTACTTTGAAATCATTTATCTGCCTTCTAAGAAATAACATTTTTTAATATCTGAGCAAAGTAATTTCTAAGAAATGATGAAAAGGATTCATTTTCTTTTGTTTTCTTTATGGCATTTCTTCTCTGAAAAATAAGCCCTGAGTGACCTAGTTTAATAAAAGGTTTGTGGAAATGTCATGGTAAAATATACAGTAAGATACCAGTCATTTCGATCTCAACTGATCTTTTATTGAAACTAAATTTCCTGAATCAAAGAGCCTTCTATGAAACATGATTGATGATTTTGTTTTCTCAATCTCTCTCTTCATCACACTCCAAATAATTGTGCCTTGTTTTGATGTTTTGGCCTTGTCTAAAACTCTGTGCTTCTGTGGTGAAGAGTTGATACATGTGGAACTGAATTTGCCCTTCTGAAGCAGGTTCTTGCATGGGGGCATTGTCTCCAAGAAGAAGAAACAAAGACAGGCAGGTAGCTTCTAGGTTTTTGGGGTTTTTTAATCTTTAGTTTCCTGGGTCAAGGAATTTAAACTGACAAACTAAAAACACCCTAAGGAAGGAACTTACAATGGTTGGGTTTTTCTTTTCTTTAAGAGAACTTCTATTATTTCATACTACCCAATATCGTTGGATTGTGTATTATAATATCTCAAGTGTACCGCATTGTTTTAGATGGGCTTTATCATTCTAGTTATTCCCAGAAAAGACCAGCATAACTTATCCTGGGCACTGGAAGCTTACTCTCTACTGGTCAAGTTCAGTGTGACCTTAAGGAAGGGCTAGCCTAGAAGGCCAGTTTCTTTATCTGAAAGTACCAAGAGATCTCCCAGGACTCCCCAGCTATGAAGGTTTCTGAAATCAGTAGTGCCTTGACCCCAAAGTATTCCAAGTCTTTCAAAGACAAGTTCTGAATTAAGTCTTGTGAAGGAAATTGTGTTATCCAGAATTCAGTGCTCCGGGTGGTCTAAATCCTGGCCTCTCTACTTGATTCATGGGCTCCCTCAGCCTTCCCGACTGATCTTATCCGCACAGCCACTAGGATCTCATCAGCATTCAGGCTGATGTTTATCCTGCAAATGTAAGACACTTGGCTGCTGGTTTCATGAAGTCTCCTGTCATCACCTCCTTTGGGCAAACCAGTTTTGTCACTGGTCAGATAACCTTAGCCCTGGTGTATCTCTGACTTGCAGGTGATATCATTTGTTCACCTCCCTCCTTTTGCCTCCTTCACAGGGTACATCCCCAGCTACTTGGACAAGGATGAGCTCTGTGTAGTGTGTGGTGACAAAGCCACTGGGTACCACTATCGCTGTATCACGTGTGAAGGCTGCAAGGTAAGAGCCCTTATGGTCCCTTACCAGTGCGCTACTGGAACTCAACATTTGAGTTTGAATTAAAACTAAATTTCAACATTGCTCTCCTGTGACCATCCAGGAGTCTGATAGTTTCATTTTTAACATGGTCAGGAACTGAATTTCCAAGTGTGTGAGTTCTGGTTTCTTCAGCAAATGTTTTTAAAACAGGAAGAGGATCACTAAAATCAAAAGAAATTAATAAAACTTTTACTTTGAGTTTTAAAAAAGCATAAATTTTCAAATACATTATCATCCCAAGAAATTAACTAGCTAAAAGTACACTAATATTTCTCCTGTTTTATCTCCAAAATTGGAGGAGATAGGGCTTGCTGTGTCGCAGGCTGTTTCTTCTGTTAATCTACATGACTGTGCCCACTTAAATGTTCCATTAGGAAATATCTGTGAGGCTACTTAGGTTCAATTATGTTCTGACGTTTATCCAAAGTGGCTTTCTGCACAGCCTGCTGTAAGGAGATTCAGGTCATCCATCAGGTAATTGTATTTTCTGCAGACCTTTCTTCAAGAGATACTTAACAAGAACATACCAGTGAATAGTCCATTCACTTACCAAAAGTGAGTCTAAATTTACCTAATTACAGTCTTCATCAACAAAATTAACATGAGCTTTATGGAAAATATCTTTTGGACAAACAACCTAGCCTAGAAAATAAGGTCTATCATAAACATGAAAGCTTAACCCAGGGCTGTACTTGGCATTCAGCTAATACTTTATAAATGACACAGTGTTTAAAATCAGGGAAGGACTTTTTAAATTATTTTCTTGTTAAATGTTTTATATTTAAAACTTACCAAAGAAATAAACTCTATAGCAAAAGTTGTGCTAAAATTTGAAGGGGAAAAAATATTCCACCTTCCCTTCTCCCTGCCTGCCTAACTCCTGCTCCTCTTCTTCCCTTCCTCTGATACCCCCTTTCTTCCTGTCCTTCCCCGTAAACCCCCCAAAATAACATGTTACTTCTTTTTACACCAAGAAGTGTTCCATTTCCCTAGTAGAAAATTTTCCATCCAAATACCCTACTTTTTGTACATGAAATTAAGAAATGTTTAGGAGAAGCCTGCTAAGATTGTTGCACTTATATATGCACTGGAAAGAGGTAATTTCTAAGATCCCAAGGCCTTTTATCTGCAAAACTGTTATTTGGGGTGTGGTGTAATATGTTCTCATTCATCCAGACCCCTTTGATCTATATTTTGTAGTACTTTAACAAAGACTGGGCTAAAGACTGCCATTACAGCTATGAAAATAATGTCTTAACAAGTTTAATGAAGCTAATTACAAGTAAGTCCTGGCTATTTATTAATTAGAAGACTCCGCAAACCCTCTCTTGAAAGCAGTTTTATTGGCTTGAACTGAAAGTAATAAAGTTATATAACTCTAGATGCATTCTCTAATTTCAAAAGCTCAGTGATTGAAACTGGCCTTTTTTTTCTATATTAATCTTAATTTAAAAGGCTTTACCTGCCTGATTATGCAGCATTGAAATTCTTTTAAATCAGCTTCTTATGATACATTTTGAATTCTGGGAGAGAATCTAATGAAAATTGAATTTAGGATTTAACTCTACCAGGGGCTAAATGTGCCCTCCAGAGGGCTGAATGAAGTAATAGCAATTGCCCCTAAACAAAGGGAGAATTGAGCCTATTCACTTAAGTTCCTGCCTCACTAAAATCAGCTCGACTTTTTCCCAGGATCACTGGATCTCTGGAGACCGATTCTGCTGAGATTTTCTTAAGAGAAAAATCATATAGCAAAAGGCTAGGTTTCCCAAACCTCTATGTCTGTATCTCAGTTGAGAAAAGTACTGTTTCAAGGATTGCCTCCATCATAAAACCAAAACGGAGCCTTCCTTGGGTGCCAGGGCTGGGGATTGCAGATCATTTACTATAATGACAAAGCATCTTGGAAAAAGACAAGAGTTTTTTTTAAGACTAGTGAAGGATGAAAAGGGTTATATTCTATATTATTTACTCAAATCCACAATTTAAAAATATTTCTACCACATACAATATAGGTACAATCATTTTTGCCCATTTTTGCCTTGACAAATGTGAAATCTTTTGGACATATTTTCTCTGTTGTGATATGCCAGTTTTTATACATCTGTTCTAGAAAGAATGTTGCTGCTTCTCCATAATAAATTATTTTCTAAGACCCAAAGCTGCCCAGATATTGAACTAGGAAGGTGACAGTTTACTCCTTATCTCACTGATTAGTACATCATCTTGAACCACCAAGAAGTGGATCTAATTCTCAGAATGCACAGAAACAGGCCTGTTATTGATTTATAAATACCTCTGCTCACCAACAAATCAGTGAAATGTACATCCTTATTTATTCCCAAAGTCATCTCTTGTCAGCTTTTTCTCTTTTCTTGGCATGGGGGTGGAGGCTAGGAATGGTTTGGTGAGGACAGAGCCCAGCACCTCACAAATGCTAAATGTGTGCTTTACTGCTGAGCTAAAAGGATTTCTTTTAAATAAGTAGGCTATTATAAATGTCTTCTACCTAATGTACTTCCAGGAGTTAACTTTTGCCATTCTTGAAAGTTAAGGGACTTAGCGTTTTTACATTTACTCATATGAAGTAGACCCTCATTGTATATAAAAATATGCTTAACTGTACTTAAGAGAGACAGCAGTATAAAAGGACTGGGCCCATGAAGCATCCAAGAAAAGTCATTAGAGGTAAGCCACAGAAAAGATAGCCCTGATAGAGGCGGAAGAGATGTGACTCCCAAACCTACTAGATATCCGAAATTCGAGTTCATGTTCTCTAAAATCAAAGAATGAAAAAATCAAAGAATGAATTCAAGGAACAACGGAGGTTAAGAGTAGGAAAAATTTATTGGGACAAAGAAAGCTTCTGCCTAAGAGAGACAGAAGGGGGACCAGAAAGTGGGTTGCCCACTCACCCCACTTTTCAAAGATGTTTTATACAGCAAAGCCATGTGGTGAGGCGGGTACAAAGTCGGACAAAACTCTAAGGACCAATGGAAATTTACAAGGTGGGCATGAGGTAGGACAAAACCATGACCAACCAATAAGATTACAAGTACAGTCACCCAGGTAATATTGATTAAATGGGGATCAAATGGGAAAACAAGACACATACAAGGAATTTCCCATTTAGAATATCAATCACTGCTGTCTATGTCTAGGGGAAGTAGTACCTCCTCTTTTTATAATGCTAACCAGTGAATGTGCCTTAATTGTTCTCCATGTTGGCTCCTGGAGGGCTGGCACCTTAAGGGAGGCCCTGTCTAACTGCCAACAAGATATCTAATTAACTTAGCTATCTACAATAGCACCATGAATAGTCCAGCCAGCCACTACAACCTCTTTATCAAAATAAGCCCAGTATAAATTATTTCACTCACTCCATTAAAGAGTACACAGAGTAGCATTTGGGGAGAAATGGGTGCTACCCTCCTTCTGGCATATCACACTTTACCTTCTCCTCAGTGCTGTCTCACTTTTCAGGAGGCCCTGGCCACCCTCTCCCCTAGCACAAGCAGGCATTAGAGTGTAAGGGAGAAAAAGTCACTGAAGTTCCAGACAGAGAAACCCTTTTCCTGTCCTTATAGCAGCACTCAGCACTCTCTCTTGCTGGCCACCTTGGATTTTGGTGTTTCCCTTTCTGGAGAAACGTGGCCTCCTCCAGGAGAGGAGTGCTGGCCTGCCCCTGCCCAATGTGTTCTCTGCCAGGAATCTGGGTTTCTTTTGCCCTCCTCTACCCTCCTTGGACAGAGAGGGGCACCTAAAGGGGGGCAGTTCACAGAGAAGCACATGTTTCAGTCATGTGATACATTCTGACATTGACATTTTTGGCAGGATTTACCCACACTGAACATCCAGGGAAGCATTGCCGACATCCCATATTGATGCCCACATGTGATTCCATAATCCTGTAACTATGTATCCATATCATACAGGTTCAGAGACTCAAGTGTCTTAAGGATGCAAAATCCAAATATAATATGACAGTTTTTCTATTAGAACTTGAACAGTGGAAATGATAAGGGATTTATACACATATCCCCAAAGCAAGTTTACAAGTCTCAGATTTCCCTGGTGCTTTCGCAGTTTGTTGTGCTTTGGACCTTTTTATTCTAAGCAGGAGCTTTTGTGTAGAAGTGGGCATATGTATGTACATAATCTAAGCCCAAAAAATGAGATAATAAAAATGTGGGTTAAAGCAAGGTCAATTGACATTTTGAGTCCACCATTTATATAGCAGGCCTCCTTCACATTTTAGCAGAGAATTCCTTAAAACCTTGCTAATCTACCAAAACAAGATGGAAGTTTTTTGAGTGGTGGATGGGAGAAGACTGTTTATAATCCGTTCATTAAAATCATACAGTAAGCTCACTTCATTTTACATTACATAAACAGTTAAGCAAATAAGATTTGGAATTTGCGTCCTGTGTTGCTAGCCAAGTTCCAGCATGCAATTACCACATAACTTGAAGCAAGTGATTTCACCTGTCTAAGGATTAGCTTTTCTCATCTCTGCAATGGAGATGTTAAGAGTACTTCCCTTATAAATTAGATTGTGGGGAAGAGAGGAGGATATGGAGTGCATCCAACAGCCCTTTGCAGTGTACTCCTCATAAGTGCTCACTGCCCTTATTAATTCTGCAATTCAGAATACAGTTGCTAAGCCATAGAGATCACATGTACAAACATTCTAGTAGGACCCCCTTGAGAATGTTATATAAGTCACCCACCCAAACCTACAACTAAATAGCATCCTTCAGAAAGGAAGAAACATACGGAATTCATAGGTATATGTCTACAGACACCAGAGTAAAAGAGGGTTATGAAAACAAAACCTTCAGTGCAATCAGTTTGGGGAAACACTTGGTGGAAAATCTGGAGACTATCTGAAAGACTAAAGGCCATCTCAAAAGCCCAAACAAGAATTAAATAAAATCTCTAGATGCAGGTAATGCATTTAATTACTAAATAATTACTTTTTATTTTTTGGTACTGGGGATCGAACTCAGGATCTTTTGTGCTTGCCAGGCAGGCCTGGTGCCACTGAACTACATCCCCAGCCCAATGATTACATTATTAACTCGTAAAGTATCAGAAGTATCCAGCTCTCTCTTTTCCTAGTATAAATTAGTAAAGCTACTCATAGTTTAATTTCACAGCATAATTATAACATGCTATGAAAAAATAATATATATTATTCAATGTATAGACAATAAAACCAAGTACTAGATTCTTCCATTGGCTTCATTTCCCTGAATAAAATCCAAAAAGGTATTGACTCTGCAGTCCTTTGATGTCTCCTTTAGCTCTTTAGAGTCTCTTTAGGCCTACTGTCCCATATTAGAGAAAGTAGATAAAACTAGAGGCCCAAATACATATTAAGGCCCAAAACAATTCATCTCATAATTATATGGTCTCACAATTCCAGAATCATTTATATTTAGAAAATATGAAATTGCTGTCTTGGGTCTTTCTTTCTCATGTAGGGTTTCTTCAGAAGAACCATTCAGAAAAATCTCCATCCATCCTATTCCTGTAAATATGAAGGAAAATGTGTCATAGACAAAGTCACACGCAATCAGTGCCAGGAATGTCGCTTCAAGAAATGCATCTATGTTGGCATGGCAACAGATTGTAAGTAGATCATCTTCACTGGATTCATATTCAAGGAGTGTTGATTGGGGAAGGACTTGGTTCAAGATCAACCAGGCAGAAAAACAGTAAAAACCCACATAGACAGAGAAGGCAATACATGGCTTCCCCAACCCCACCTCACCCCTACATCCAGGATTGCCATTCAGGGGAGTGGGAGCCATTGCCGTGTGGGTTTTGTCCTATTCCTATCTTATCAACTTTTTTTTTTTTGGTACTGGGGATCAAACACAGGAAGGCAGGCACCGTGCCACTGAGCTAAATCCTTGGCCATATCAACTCTTAACTCTCTAAGTATGCAGATGATGAAAGAACTAAAGTGGTTAAATCATCCCTATAGTGTTTGTAGGGTGGACTGTTAACAACATTGCAACACGTTACAAATGAGAGGTCTCATCCCTTTAACTTGGTAAAGTAATTTTCACTCACAGCGTTCGTGTGGTAAGAGCCTTTCGGTCTAGTTCTCATATTTTTTCAAAAGCAAAGACACAGGACCAGGGATCTAGCTCAGTGATGCCGCCACCTGCCTTGCAAGCACAAGGTCCCGAGTTCAATCCCTGTTACCAAAAAAGTTAAAAAAGCAAAGACATAAATTATTTTATGTACATTTTTAGAGACACATTGGCAGAAAATGTTCAGGAAATTTCTGAAGAATTCAAAGTTGAATGCTATTGCATGAAGCATCCCTGACTTGGTTGCTTCTTGTATTTCTAGCCATAAAGACATTGGAGCTGAAGTTGTCCTACCACAATGTCACAGCACATGGTGGTGAGATTAACCCTTGAGGTCTCTCCTCCCCACTGTATGAGGGACTTACACCAGTCACCTTAATTAATCATAAAAAGGAGAATCACGTTCCTCACAAAGCTGCCCTTTTGTCAGGCATCAGTATTAATGATTTCTACTGCCATAAACTTGTGTACATCAGTGAGGGATCCCAACTGTTAGTTAAAAATTAAAAAGGAAAAGAAAAACAAAGGAAAGAAAGAGAAACCGCAGTGAGGATTTTTTCTGATATGAGGAAATAATCATGGATTACCCTTATGTGATAAATAGAATTCTCTCTCAGAAAAGAAAAATCTGTGGAATATCTTGCTTTGCATGATGAGGAAGACAGGATGGAGAATCATTCAAAAGGAGGAGAGTAGTGTCATGGTACTAGGCTGAAAATCCTGAGTTAATCCCCACCTCTAGCTGTCTGTTCCTTATCTTTTAAAGGCTTTAGCCTTGCCAACAATAAGCCCTGATAAAGTTATGTGACTATGATTAACTTGGGACCAAATGCTTAGATATGTTACTATAATGAACCATTATGATTGATCGTCTATTTCATTGTTTCATTAAGAACTTTAAGATCTGAGTGTTTATGAGATTAAGAAACTCTGATAATCTGAAAATCTGAGGTGTTCCTAATGTGTTTGGGAGGCATTTTAAGAACTCAGGGTTTATAATAAATAGAATACTCTGAGTCTCAACACTGCCAGTTATTAGCTGTGTGAACTCCAGTATTAACCCTTAGGTTTCTCTTCTCTGAAATCACTGCCAACCTTAGAGGGTTGTGTCCAGGATTATATCAGATAATTCATGTCAAACGCAACAGGCTCTGACACACTGGAAGCATTTAGACAACGTGGCTCTGGCTATTATTACTCTTTGCTAGAAGAACCAAAGTCATTTAGGCCTCATCCATACTCCCTACAGTTATAAATGCTCATTTTGACAATCCAATGCAGTCTAGATTACTGGGCTTTAGTATTGTATTTGTAGGTTACCTGGGTACCTTGATTCTCTTCCTCCTGCTACATCTGCTTTTTTTTTTCCTACTAGGTCATTAGGAAATGGCCCTAGAACAATGATGTTGTAGAACTAGAGTCAGGAGTCCTGGGTCTAGCTCTGCCATGAACTTGCTGTGTGACTTCAGACAAGTTACAACCTCTCTGGATCAATTTCCTCCTCTGTGAAAGGAGGACGTTGGATGATATCTAAGGTCCCTTCCAGTTCTAAAACACTGTGATTCTGCAACTTCTTATTCCAATGATAGTCACGTTACAAGAGACTAGTGAAATGGTTTTGTTTTGGAAATTAACCATGGAAGTACATGTGTCTTATTATCAACTCTTCTTGTTTATCTTTTGCATAAATAATTAAGATTGTGGTTACATTGACTGAGCCCTTACAGTGCATTACAACATCCTGTACCTTGTGCAGTGTATTCTTGATCTCATTTCATTTAGGAAGAAATGAAAGAAAGCTCAGAGAGCCTAAGTACCTTTCCAGAGGTCACACAGCCTGAAACATTAGTGTCAGAATTCAAGTCCACGTCTTTCTAGAGTCTGAAGCCTGGACTCCTTAATTACCATTTCGAGCTGACCAAGTAAGGAGTAATGTAAAGTGGGTGTCTGTGAAGCCGAAGATAGCTCCACTCTGTTCTACTTAGCCCTTAAGGGAGCCAATGAAGAGTTGGGGTCCTTTTCCTCTGAGGAGGGAATCAGGAGCCTCCCATTACCACTCCACAGTTTCTCTTTCACCTGAAGTCTCCTTACTAAGAGCCATCCATCTTAAGGAAGGAGAGGAGAACAGAGGCCATGAGAGTGAATTCAGATGACTGACTAGACAGACTTACCTGTGATCCTGCAGGTAGGATAGATTCTGCTTCCCTCTGCCTCACTCTTTGCTAGGGCTCTCTTCTGTGGAGTTGGAATGCCCAATCCCCAAGATTCCCCAGAGCTTTGTTTTAAAAAGCTGACTGGGCACTGGGAATTTGGCACAAGGGCTCATGTTCAACAATGGCTGACCAGTAGCAATTTGCTACCAAAGGGAGAAAAGGCCCCAATGTGACCTAACCTCCCCACTAAGAAACCCACTAGGCCACTTGTGCCTCAGTGCCCCCCCCCCCCGCCGAGGCTCCAGGATGAGTGGTCTGCCACATGTTTGGGGAATATCCATGTGTATTCTCACCTTTCTCCCTCCCAGTGGTGCTGGATGACAGCAAAAGGCTGGCCAAGAGGAAGCTGATTGAGGAGAACCGGGAAAAAAGGCGGAGGGAAGAGCTGCAGAAATCCATAGGGCACAAGCCAGAGCCCACGGATGAGGAATGGGAGCTCATCAAAACTGTCACTGAAGCTCATGTGGCCACCAATGCCCAGGGCAGCCACTGGAAGCAAAAACGGAAATTCCTGGTAAGGTATCCTTGGAGGTGCTTTCTGCCTTGACTCAGTAAGTCCTCAAAATCCTGGGCTGCTATGTTGATGCCGGGTTTCACTGATAGAGGAACTGCAGCTCTGACAGGACAAAGACCTTGCAGAGCCCGGATGTAAATCAGGCCAGTGTGTCAGACATAATTCCCCTCTTACCTTTGCAGTCCCTCCTCCTTTTTGCAATTCACCAGATTCCAAAGCACTTTCTTAGAACTCATTACTTCAGGGTTTTTTTACTGTTACTAAGGCCAGTTTTGAACAAACTAGTGAAATTTGCTACCTGCTAGCTTTCCCTTTTTATACTCATTTCTCCTCTCAGATGCCCAGTAGGTATATGCTTAATATAAGATTCCTCTAAAATATCATCCTCCTTTAGAATAACCTTTAGGGTGAAGTGTCCCATACCTCAAATGTGTTTTTATGTCAATAGGGCCCAAAATTTTTAGCTTAAAATAATCAGTTTGAGTCCTGAAAGACAATGCAAATGAAGAAGTAGGGGTGTTGAGAGGCTGTGTGGAGAAAACAAACCTTTCCAGACCCTTGGAATTTTGGTGTTCAATAGTTTTATACAAAGTTGCAGTTGTGAAAGCCATTCACTTCTCATCTAGTCTTCAGAATGTTTTGAAGGAGGTGGGAATTTCTATCCTCATTTTACAGGAAATGTAAACTGAGCCAAGGTCACACTGCTAAGAATTGACTTAGCAGGGTCCTAAAGCCATCTCAGGGCTTTTGGGGCCAAGTCAGGCTCTCCTCGAACCTCATTAAGTGGACTACCCACCCCATCCCAGTCTGGCCCCCTCTGAGACTGACCCTGTTCCTACGTAGTGACCGGAAGCCCTTTCTGAGTACGTTGCTGAGTCCTGACGTCAGGAGTCCTGCAGGTCCATTTGTGTCCCCAGGGAACATCAGAGGACTTCCTCATCTGAACACAGAGATACAGCAGTAAAATTATCCTTATACCTCAACATGAGTGTGATAATGAAATAGTCTTTTGTTAGTATGACTTTACAGAAATTTTTGAAAAGAAAACGTTTATATATAATCCACCTGCCCTGAAGTAATTGCTCATAGTCGCAATGAAATGATAATGCCAGTACTTTGATAATGGCCTTCACTAATAGCAATGTTAGCAAATCCTTAGATGATCCTTACCATAGGCCAGGTACTAGTCTTAAGTGTTTTCCACACATTAACTTCCTATACCAACCCTAGAGGTAGATAATGTTGATATCTCCACTTCACAGCAGAAAGAACTGAGGGAGAGATGTTTAGGAAACCTATCCAAGCTCCCGCAGGTACCACATGGTGGCAACACGTGCAGGCAGCCCCAGGATTTGCACTCTTGTCACTATGCTGTGCAACTTGCCACCTGCACAAACCCAAAAAAGCCTCTGAAATAAACAAGCTCCTTGCAAGGGTAGCCTTGTGGTGCATTCACCTTGCATCCCCAGCCTCACTCTGCTGTATCTGCCAGGAAATTTAAAAAATACTCACTCTCAATCAATAGATCGGTGCTACCCAGTATATTCAGGGCAGAGTAATACAAGAGTCCTGACTGACCACAAGCTTAAATCTGTCCTTTCCCTGATGTGTCAGCCACAAATGGTTCACCACCACTTCAAAGCTTGGTGTTGCTTTCTGATTTCAACTAGTGACCAAGTAATGACATTCAAGCTGAATTCCAAGTACAGGGTAAGACGTGGAACCAATCTTAGACTTCTCCTAGAGAATTTTACATTTTTGTTTTATTTACTCCTGAAAAAGAATGGTTACTAGTCCCAGTAGTCACTAAAGGTAGTCATTAAAACAACTTCACTGGTCATTAAGGAGCTTCTTTTTAGATTCTAAACATTTATTATTTTATTTAAGAAACATTTATTGAATGGCTACTATGTCTCACAAAGTAAATCAGCCACATTACAGTGGAAGGAAATAGACAATAAGGCTTAAACAAGATAAATACAGGCAGTGGGAAGGCAAGGAAGACAATAAATCATATGACAGGACAGAGTGTTTGTCAGCTGGAAATGGAGAAAGACTTCATTTCTCTAGACAGGAATGTGTAGACAGAAAAGGGCTCTCCAAGGAGGTGACATGTGAGTTGTGACTAAAGCTGAGAAACTCAACCTCTAAGAAAATATGATCACATCTCCCCATACCTCGTGATCCCCTCAGCAAAGACAGCACAATCAGCACTGAGGTCCGTACCTGTGACTTACACGCTCATGATGGTCTTCACTGGTCTGAAGGAACCAAAATAGTGTGGCACAGAACAATTTGTCCTGGGTTTTTTACCAGGTCCGTGAGATTCTCCATGCATGAAGGAGTTTTCTTTAGGAAACTTATAGTTTAGAGCAACTGTTTTGCATACTGGTCTCCCTCCCATGGAGCTGCCATGAAATATATCTTTCGTAGATCCTTGATCTGTTCAAGAAATTGTCACTCTTGATCTAAATATAAATAATTTCCTCTCCAAGCCAAGTATTCCTAGAGCGGTCCTGGGAGAGATGAGAACTCCTCCACTCTTCCATCTGTCTCTACGATGCATTTCATGTGTAGTAGCCAATTGCCTTCTGCTCTGTATCACCGCTGCACCTCCTGGTGTGCAGAAACCATATTCCCTTCAGTATTAGTGCTTCAGTGCCAGCCCCATGTGTGGTTGGAACTCATGGTAGCTGTCCTTCAAGATGGCTGCCATTCCCACACACTTCCTGTATACACAGGGAGTTCAGTATCTTCTGCCTCTCCTGGAATCTGGGCTATTCTTTGATTCCTGTAAACAATGGATTTTGGTAGAAGAGATGCTTGAGTAACTTCTAAGTCTGGGTCATAATAAGGTTTGTAGCTCTCATTTGGGTGACATAAAGGTGAAAACCAACTATTATGTAAAAATGTCTAAGTACTCTGAGACGACCATGCTGTGAGGAAGCCCAAGATTCCCAACCAACCCAGGCACCAGGAAAAAGAGGAAAGAAGCTTCTAGTGACACCAGACTACACAGCCATTTGATGGCAACTGTATGAGGAACAATATTAAGACACTCCTAAACCCCAAATTGTGCTATCAACCCCTACAACACTAAATGATCATTTTAAAAATTGTTCTTTTAAGCCATTGTGTTTTGGGGTAGTTCGTTATGCAACAATAGATAACCAGAACAGAAATATATATATAACTGCACATACAGTTCTGCTGGCCTAGCCTCGGAGATAGTATAGTTAAGCTCTGGGTCCCAGTGTGTGTATATATTTATAGATAGTCCACGCAGAGGGATGACACTGGTGGAGTACTTATGCTCAAAATAAAAACTTTATTCTTCTGCTTGCAAGAACAGTAAGAATCCTTACTTGAAGACAGTTTTGCTAAATGGTGTCTGAATCTGAAAGGTACAGGGATAGATGGGCTTCTACACGTTAGGATTTGCATCTCCTGTGTGGTTGATTCCTTTTGGGGCTTGCAACACTGCCACACTTATTATTGCATTGATTTTTGTGTGTTGCTAACCCATCTTGTTTTGAAGAATAATTTGAAAATATCTATTATGTTAATAATGGTATAGTAATATGCCATGAGAGATTAAAAAGTACGTCTAGTCATAAAAGCTAGAAGTATTCACTTAGCTGGAATAGGTTAGTTTATTCCCCCAAAGGAACTACTGCATCTCTTTCCACATGAGGACCAGGACCCAAGCCAGAAAAATAGACTGGTGGTTGGACCTGGGTTTTAAATGTGCATTAGAGTCTTTGGCAAATGAGAAACTTTGGCAAAATCTATGCAGATTTTCATAGTAAACCTAGAGCCACACATTAAAATTACTTCAAAACACATTTAAATCGTGCAATTTTCTAGTTCTCTCCAATCTACTCAAATATCTGGGGCTACAGAAATGCCAAGTTTTACCACCAACAATTTGGGTGATGTTGATGATAGAAAGGAGAAGTGGGCTAAGAAGGAACGAGCAGCATCGAGTGTCAAACAATAGCTCACTGCTATACCTCCCTGGTGAAGCAGGTCATTTGCTTTGGCATATACTGCATGGCAGCAACAGTCTTGCCTTTCAACACTGTTATTATATGTCAGCATGGTCTCATTATTCTCAGCTTGGTTCACATGCGAAGGAGTCACTTTGAGTGGACTTTCTACCAAATGTTAAATGTGACCGTTAGAATCAGGCCAAGCCTGCCCAATTTTCCCTGGCAGACTCACTGTCCGATTTCCCATATTCTCAAGTGCGGCAGCCTCAGAGAGAGGGCATAAACAGATGAGGTAGGGTGGGTGATTCAACCTTGTTTGAATAGGTCATAGGCCAAATGCAATCAAGTCAGGAAGGCATCTATCACCCAAAATGGTCATCACTTCAGAAGAAAGCTGGGAAGCCCTACAGTCAAGAGAATGGACATTGGAACCAAACAACCTGGGTCCAGCACTTGCCTTGTTGCTTCCTAACTGTGTGACCTTGATCAAATTATTTCACTTCTCTAAGGCTCAGGTGCCTTGTGTCTTTAACCAAATAACTAAAGTAGAAGTTACACAGGATCTAACAGTGCTTAGCATATTGTTAACAACCACATATGTAGTTATTGTATGCATCGCCCCTATCACCTTTGCTATCTTTCCTGCTATCCCAGGAAAAGTCACATCACAAGGCCCCAGAACCTTGAATCGCCATATCCTCTTGCCCAGCCTTGCAAAGAGGCAAGAAGATATGGGTGAACAAGCAGAGGAAGAATCCCATCTGACCCTACTCTACTTTGTATGTGCCAAAGAGCTACCAGGTCAAGCCAAGACATCCTTGGCTCTGAGCCAGCCACCTGACAAGAGGTCAACTGGCCACATTTCCTACTTACCTTGAACAGCACCAATGCAACAGTCAAGGCAGAACCAGCTAGTCAACATTCAACACAGCCTCCCTGAGTGCTGAGCAAGGGCCAATGAACACCTACACACACCCTTCACTCTCTTTTTCACACCCCTCCATCCCCCTGCCTGGGTGAGTCACTCTGAATCCCTCACCCACATCCAGTGCATCTTCAGTCCCCAAGACATGTCTCAAATTCTGCTTCTGTCCACCCATACTGCTGCCCACGTCAACCAGCCCATTTCAGCACACCCACACAACTGCTATTGTCAGCCACTGTTTTCCTGTGCCACATCCCTTACACACATAACCGTAAATCACACCATGCCTCTGTCCTGTTCACAGCCCTTTAGTGGACGCCCCCTTTGCATTTAGAATACGCCCATGTCCTCTCCTTGTCAACAGGGTCCAGCATGATGGAACCCTGCCTGCCTCTCTTCTTCAACTCATGTCATTACTGGGCTCTTGCCATACAGGTCTCGGGACTTGGTACTGACTTTTCCCTCTGCTTTAGATGTTCTTCCTCTGGTTCTTTGGAAGGCTACCTCCCTGACATTATTTAGGTCAAAGCCCACACATTGTTTCTCAATGGGGCCTTAGCTGACCACCCTGTCTCTGGGTCTCTGTGGAGTACCTCCAGTCTTACCACAGAGTGAAATTCTTTGATGGATGTATTTTTTCTTTTTATTGTCTGTCTTCAATACAATGCAAGTTCCTTGATGTTCATTGGTGTAATCTCAGTATCCAATATCTCTTCTAGAACTAGATCTGGCCTATAGTACTTGTTCAAAAAACATTGGTTGGATAAATGTATGAATAATCATTTATTCATTCACTCAGTCATCAAGCATTCTAGCCACACCATCTGGCCCAATATCTTGTACATAGCAGGCAAAGACAGAAGGCTCATCCCCCAGCCCTTTGAAAAATTTGTATCAATGATATGTACCTATACATAATAACAACAATAAAAAGTGATGTAATAAATGTCTGATGCCATAGGAGTGATATATGGGAGCCACCATGCCTGTTCAGGTGAGCTATGTATCATTTCAAACTGAGGTCACCTGGAAAGGAGTCCAGAAGACAGGATTTTGACTTGGGTCTTGAAAAATGGGTAGGACTTGGAATGGACAAAGGTGACAGACAGAAGTGGAGGCTTCATCAAAATGGAAAAGTGGAAAGCAAGTCATGGGGGAGATGTGAGGTCCGCTGGGCTGGCTCCATAGGTCCATTTAGGGCAAAGAGGAAAGAGTCATGGTAAGAGTCAGAAGGCCCCCCATGAGCAAGCTAGGGCAGTTGGGCCCACAGAGGCACAGTTAGGCCTTCCCCACTGTTCCACACTGACGAGTCTATGCACAGGAGACTTAACATCAGTACCTGAGTTGATCAAGTGCATAAGGACATATTGTATATAGAGCAAATATGTGTCATGTGGTGGTATACAAGGCTATAATCAGATATCTTCTGGAATCACATATCTAACATGGTCAAGCGATGTTGAATTGTGTGTTGTCCTTATAGGTGAAAAATCTGCAGGAATGTCACAAACAAGGTTGTGTTACTCCACCTTAATTTCTCATACCTGAGGTAAACTTGTGTTGAGTCATAGATTTTATATCTATATGATTTTTTCTACCCTAATATATATTTTTCAAGAGAAAGGTTCCTGAAGTTACATCTCAAGGGTTAATTGTAATTAAAGTTGCTATATTTCTTTACATAATTTCATTTCTTTTTTTCAAATCTTTGGAGAGGTCACAGATAGTGAGTCAAATACCCTACTTACCCAAAGACTAAATGGAATTAACTAACATCGGCCTAACCTACTGACATTTCAAATAACATGGAATTTTCCATTTAAATATAAACAGATTATATCCATCAGTATTCAAAGAGGAGACCTTTGGATTCAGCTAGGCCAAAACCACATTATTAAATATTTTTATTTCTAAGAAATGTTCCTACATATATAAAATATATATCACATATTAATTCTGTATTAACAAGCTCTTTTTTTGAATGTGTACCCACATTCCTTTTATCAGTTGATCTTGCTAAAAAATTTGTGAAGCAGACAAGAGATGTGGGATGAGCCTCAAGTTCAAATTTAAGAAGGAATGATAAAGACCAGTAACAGGTCTGAAGGATGCAGGGAGGAGCAGCAGCCAAGGGAAAAACAGAAGGAGGGAGAGAGGAGGAGCTATACATTATTCCATCCATTCTCTCTACAGCTAGAAAGACTGAAAACTAGGAGCCTTTCATGGGTTGACCCAAAATATCATTCACCGTGAAAACACAACAGAAACTAGATTTCATCCACTCAGCCACTGCACCAGAACAAAATAAACTGTGAAGAACCTGTAGATAATCAAAAAGAAGTAACTGCTACCAGCAGGTCCATATCACGTGACATGTTTGCAAGTCCTCCCTGAGGCTGCCTTCATGATTCCTCCTGAAGCCTTACGGGGTCTGGCTGCTTCTGCTTTCCCTGGTGGAGTCACCCTGCAAGAAAGAGGCTCCTCTGCTGCTTTCTCTCTATTAGAAGTGAGGTGTGAGCGGTATCGGGATATGTGGGAAGAGCCATGGCCACTGGGCTTCTCCAAGCTGGCTTTGGTTGCTGCCAGCCCAGGGTTCCCATAGTGTGACCCCAGACTACCAGTGCCAGCATATCCTAGAGACACTCCTTAGAAATGCAGATTCTCTGGCTCCACCCCTGCCCCACTTCATCAGAAACACTGGGAGTGGGGGCCAGAATTCAGGGGCTCCTGATCCACAGCAAAGTGCGGTGGCTGAGATACCAGGCCAGAATCTTGATGTAGGCAGTGTCCTCACTACTCTGCTAGTGAGGGGTTGGGTCCTGCACACCACACTTCCAGTGTGAGTTCCTCTTTCCTGTTGCTCCTCCCCACCCTCCCCCGCTTCATCCCCTGGGTGCCTAAGAGAGACCGGGCTTTGTTCAGGTCTATTCACAATAGCTTCTAGGCAAAGGTGACCACCATCAAATAGGCCTTGAGTCTGTGATCTCCTCTTTACAGTCATACTTCCTGAACAACAGCTGGAGAGGCTGGCAGGAGAGTATTAGGAGTAGAAAGTCCACTTCCTGTATCAGAACATATCCAAGGAGTGAAAGCCTTGCAGTGGGACTAGGAGATGGGGCTCCCTGAAAGGCTGCTGTGTGGACTCAGGGCCACCCAGCTCCCAGGCCAGGGCTCATCCAGATATTATTACTCTGCCTGACCTCTGCCTTGCTGATCTGTAAACAAGGTCTTGTGTGAGGATTACCTAAGATAGAGCAGCTTGTCCAGGAGCTGACTCACTTGTAGGCCACAAAATAAATGGTTAACAGTATCACAAAGATGAGAGGGCATCAGAGAGAACTGCTCCTGACAGCAAGCACAAGGTGACAGGATGGCTCCTGTGGACCTGGGGAACCCAAGGTGCATATGAATCACCTGGGGCCCTGGCTAAAATGCTGATTCTGCAACATCAGGTCTGGGGAGGGGCCTGTGTCCCCAGGTGATACCCATGCTGCTGCCTGCCTTTTGAGCAGCAAGGCTATGGATAGTTCCTGAGCAAGTAAACAGCAGAGAAGTGCCCCAAGGACAGTGAACACTAGTGTATTTCCAACTCTGCCCTGAAGTTGGCCACATCTACCCAACTCAGCTCCCTACAGGAAGCCTCAAGATTGTCCCCCTCAGTGCCCGGCTGAGACCACCTTAAACTGGAGTCCGAGGGCAGAGAGGAAGGAACTTGGGTCCCAGCGGCTGGGTCAGAAGCCAGAAGGAATCCAGAGGTGCTGTTTACTAGGTGTCCCTGTCCCTGCCTGCACCATGCCCACCTTGTCCACACTCTCACCAGAATGCAGTGCTCTGTAAATGCCATATCACAGCTGGCACGACCGATGTCACCGTACACCCTTCAGTGCACAGAGCAGAAGGCAAATTCCTTCTCCCTTCCTCTCCCCCACCCAGACATTATCCTTGGGGGCCAATTAAAGCAATGACCAAGACATACATCTCTTCTCAAGGAAATAAATGATGCAAACAAGGTGAAAGCCATATAATCTGTTAATAAACAAGGTGGAAATGGAAAACTTCAGCAGATTTAGGTTCAGAAGAGATTGTCTGCCACAGGAAAATGACAGTAAATCGAGCTCCCTTCAGCTTCTTCACTTACATCTTTGTTTCTCCTCCTTAGCCAGAAGATATTGGACAAGCACCGATAGTCAATGCCCCGGAAGGCGGCAAGGTCGACTTGGAAGCCTTCAGCCATTTTACAAAAATCATCACACCAGCAATCACCAGAGTGGTGGATTTTGCCAAAAAGTTGCCTATGTTTTGTGAGGTGAGCACGCTGTTTTTCCTTCTGTATTATTTCTCATTAGAGTTCCATCAATTTCCAGGAGTAGTGGGTATTGTTTACAATTTACTATTAACTAGCAGGACTTAGTCATCTGAAAGCAGCATCTCTACAGTGCAAACACACTTTATCTCATGCGTATGTCCCCACCTGCTCTCCTCTGCCACCACTCATTAGCCTGTCCATGGGAGGGCCCTTAAGACCCTTCTAAGCCCGACTCCAGGCCTCAGAGAATAAAATCCTAATAAGCACATTTGAGTTTGCTACCATTAAATCCAATCCCTATGACAGACTTACAGGGTGAATTTTTTTTAATCTCATTTTACAGATGGGGCAAATTACACTCAAAAAGATTAAGTTGATTTGTCCAAATGTGGTGCCATGGTTTGAACCTAGTTCTATATTCTTTCTACAACATACCCCAGCAAAAAGGCTGTATCATGCTCTTCATCTTCAAGAATAAAGTCCAGGGCTGGGGATTTAGCTCAGTGGTTCCACTACCTGCCTCACAAGTACAAGGTCTCGAGTTCAATCCCCGGTACCAAAAAAAAAAAAAAAAAGAATAAAATCCAGTAATCATCACAGAGTAAGGCTGTAACATCACCTTCAATCTTTCATCTTTCTCTATAAACTCACTCTTTCTTGTCCCATCTCCAGTGCAGTGAACAGGGCGCACCCACCAAAGCTCACACAGACTTTCCCCCGGGGACATTTCCTCCCACACTCAGCAGTCCTATCACGTGGCATCGGAGGGCACAGCCTTTGCAGTTGGCTGTGTGGATGAGAATCCTAAACGAGATACTTAATGTCTTTAATCCTCAGTGATCTCATCTTTAAAATGGGAATTGTAATCGTGTCTTAAGCTGTTCAAGGTTCAAATGGGATAATCTATAAAAAGTGCTTGAACAGTGCCTGGCTCATACATAATATTCCATGAATTTCAGCTGCCAGTACCACTGTTATTTCATCTATGACATTCCCAGCCTGTCTCTATCTTTTTTTAAATCAAGTGGGGTTGATTATGTTTTCTGGAGAACTTTTCCCTTTGAAAAACTCCATCAGGTGCCATTCTGCTGCTCTTCACACCTTCAAGGAGACCCAGAAAGACGCCATGTAGAGAGGGTCACACACTGCTGTGACCTCTTCCATAGCTACCTGAGCGACAAGTGATATAGCCTCAGCTAGAGAGAAGCTGAGTGTCCTCACCTGAAACGGCTCCACACTGCCTTGGCTTCCAGCTCATCGATTCCTTTGAGTTTGCAGTAACAGGAACACAGCAGATTCAGAGCAGCCTCAGACACTGAAAGGGACACTTCTCATTGCCTGTTTCTGAGCCTCCTCCAAAGCCATACCTACAAGGATAGGACAGTGGCTTTAGGACATTAATATCTGAGACCCAAACCTAGCTCAGAGAGACAGAGACAGAGACAGTGCACAGGAGAGAGAGCACATTTGCCTCCCTGTGGTCCCAGCTTCACCCTCCTAGGAATTAGGTATCTTAGTTCAGGCTGCCATAACAAAATACCAGAGTGAATGGCTTATAAACCACAGAAAGTTCTCATAATTCTAGAAGTACAGGATCAGGATGCCAGAAGATTCCGTGTCTGCAGAGAGCCTGCTTCCTTGTTCAGTGACTTTTCATACTGTGTCCTCTCGTGATGAAAGGCAGGAGGGAGCTCTCTGGGGTCTCCTTTATAAAGATACGAATCCTCTTCATGAAGGCCCTGCCCTTATGACCTTGTCACTTCCTATTGCCCACAGCTCCAGGGGCATCACATCAGGGATGAGGCTGCAACACAGGAATTTTGGAGGGGCAAAAACATTCAGCCCAGAGTGCTGCATTTGTACCCGCAACCTGCAATGGGGATGGCTCATGTCCATCTGGAGGAGCCCGTGAATTCTGGGAAGGGCTATTTGACTAATAGCTGTATTCAGTGTGGAGCTTTGTGTGCCTCTGGCATCTTTTTTTAAAAGTTATTATTCATAAACATTTTGGAGAGTATTACAAAACAGCACATATTCACTGAAGATTTACACAACATAATAAAATAAATGTAATGATTCATGGTAACACTACCAACAATCTGGAACTTATCTTGGTCTTTTTTCAAATAGATGAGGTGTGAGCAAAAAGTACAGTGAATGCTTAATTTTTTAAAATGTATTACAGTAAAAGACATATCATCATTAACCCCCTCAAAATACTTCTTGTCACTTTGAAAACACTTATCATTACTGCCACTTTCTGAAGCAGTTCTGGAAGCGCTCTTTCATGACTATCTTTAGTTGTTAGATAAAACAACTGTTAGATAAAAAAAAAACTGGCTGCCTCAATGTCCTGAATTAATTCAAAATGTTTACCTTTCGTGGTCATTTTGACTTTGGCAAAGGGCCAGAAATCACATGGTGCCAGATCAGTGAATAAGGTGGATGATGTTTTCACAAGCTGCCTTACTGTTAGATGTGCTCAGCAGCAATGTTCACCATATTTTTTATAATACCTCATAAAGATATCTGCAAGAGGACTTGCAGAATTGCTTCAGAAAGTGGCAAGAGTAAAAGGATAAGTGTATTCCAAGTGAGGGAGAGTATTTTGAGGGAATGAATGGCAATGTGTCTTTTATTGTAATAAATTTTCATTTAAATAGTTATAAGTATATTTTGATCACCCCTATCATAAGTGTGCAGTACATAAACTCACCCCTATAATCAGTATCAAGATCCCAGAAACAGAATATTGCCAGGAGCCCATTGCACCTGACTTACCCTCAATGGTGGGATATATCATTTAAGTGTTCTTTCGAAAATGAAATGACCATATAGTGTTCAAAAAGTTGGGCTACCATATTTTACATTGTTCTCACTGGGTCAGTAATTCACTTCCAATCTTTTACTAAAAAGCTACAATGACCATTTCGGCAACTGCACTCTGCTCACATCAATAATCCCTGAGGGTAAATCCTAGACATGGAATTTAAGGACCAAGATGGGTAGGTGGATGGATGGATGGATGGATGGATGGATGGATCGATCAATAGACGGACAGATAGATTTTTTAAGGCTTTTTTTTTGGTACCTGGGATCGAACTCGGGACCTTGCACTTATGAGGCAGGCGGCAGAACCACTGAGCTAAATCCTCGACCCTAAGGCTTTTAGTATGTGTTGCCAAGCTATCCCCAAGAGAGAAAACATGCTCTCACATCTCCACATGGGTGCTTGTTTTGCCAGCTCTGAGTGTTTATTTTTTGTTAGGTTGGCTCTGTTTACCTGGGCCTTTCTAGGTCCTATCTCTCTCTGTCTCCCTGGCTGTGTCCCTCTGATCCCAGACTTGGTAGCTGAAGAGGAACTCTAATTAGAGTTCACTGCTTCAAGCTAGCCTGACAGTTACACAGCAAGCATGCTTCCAAAGCCCACCAGATTTGTCTTTAAAAAAGTAAAACTCATGTAAACTAGCCACTAGAGAATATTTCAGCTAAAGAAAAAGAAGAGGGGGGCCGGGGATTTAGCTCAGTGGCACCACGCTTGCCTCACAAGCTCAAGGTCCTGAGATCAACCCCTGGTACCAAAAAAAGTGAAAGAAAGAAAGAAAAAGAAGAGGTGGGGAGGAGAAGCCATCTCCATTCCCAGTAATAAGCACACTGTATGCTCACATCTGCACCATGGATGAAGGGTCAACATGAAACTTTCCAAGCACAGGTTGTGGCGAGCTGCTCTCTCCAAGTTCCCCTTAGAAATGGAAGCCTGCTTCCTTGGGCATGATTCCATCTCTCTCAAACATGATATTTTATTTACAAAAAAGAGGAGGGTAGCACTTTTAGGGCAGAGGTGCCTGTTTCCAATGTTGAAGGCCGCCAGGCACCTGTCAGCCTGTTACACTCTCTTCGAAACCCACAAAGGGTAAGGGACAGTATAGGGTCCTGTGCTAGCTGCCTGTGGTGTGGCCTGAAGGTCCCAGGTGGTCCTGGAGCCGGGAATCTCTTGCAGAGGCAGCTTGACATATCTGCTGTTCAAAGTGTGTCACGGTAATTATTCTGCTAAGATCCCTGCCAACACGAAACAAAGCTGGTGTGACACCACTCCACAAGATCTACAATCATTGCCAGCAAAGCTGCCAAAACCAGACATAAGAACCACTCCTGGAATGTTCCATTGTCGTTGCCAGTCAACCTGAGTGATGCTCTCCTAGGGAGACACAAAGACGGTGGGAGGACCCTGCGTCTCTGCCTGTCAGGTTCTCTTGGAACACTCACAATGAAAGCCTTGTAGCAGGGGCCTAAGAGATTGTGTGCCCACATGTTAAATCTCACCAGGATCCTACAAACTCCTCTTAAAGGAAATGGTATCTGGTCCAGTTTTTGAACTATTGATGATACGTTGCAAACACTTACTCAGCTTTCATTTAAGCTTGAACTAGTTACCAATAGTTAGTAGGTTTTAAAAAGAAATCTTTTACTTCATTTATAGGAAGACAACTTCAAAGGTGGGGCCTGCCCCAATTGGCATACTTTATGACAGCTGTAAACTATAAGTGGTTTTATCTGATTAGGAATTTCCAATGCTATTCTCTGTCAGTGATTCCCAAGAGAAGGGTCCACAAACCCACATCATGGGCATTACCCAGGGACTTGGGAGGAGTAGAGAAATCAGGGCCAGCCATCTGTGCTTAACATGCCTTCAGGTAACCTGAGGGTGAAAAGGGGAACACCGCCCTGGGCATCTAAGCCAGCCTCTGTCCTCTCCTGACAGGTCTTCCTCTCACCTGCAGTGTCTCTCAAGCCCCAGCTTCCTCCTTCCTCCAATGCCTTAGACCAGGAACTCAAGGCTGTAAGTGAGGGGTACAAGTCAGACCCTAAATGAAAGCCAATCACAGTGGTTTTTAAGTGTATAAAAGGAAAAGATTCATTTTTATAGATCCCAGAACAAAATATTAAATGAATTGTATTCTGTAGAAAAAGGTAAGCAGTTTCAAATGAAATGGTAAGATGACTAGGCTGAACTAGTGAAAAATATGAAATACTATGTATTTTAAATGCAATTCAGTAGTATTACTTTCACTTTTACACAATAACTTGTATCAGATTAATGAAGTGTTGCCAAGAGCATGTCCCCAAAAGAACTTGTAGGAGCTTTAATGAAGAGGGAGATATTATGTGTAATTTACATGTTCGTTGTTCATGGAAATTTGGTCACATCCATGATACTTCAAAAGGGTGTGTTCTCTTATCTTGGCATTGGATTTTGACAAATCTAGCTTCAAATCCTAGCCTCACCCCCAAAATATTGCTGTGACCTTCGGCATTTACTCCCCCTTTCAGTTCCTGGGTTTTCACCCTTTTGAATAAAGTTAGAAATAAAATATTTACCTCACTAAATTACTGTGAAGATTAAACAAGGCAATGAATGTAAATCTTGGCATGATGCATAATTAATCAAAAACTTTTTAACTCAGAGCCTGTCAAATGAGCATTTAAACTTTCTCCCCCTACCCAGAAATTAACTTTCTATTTTTGCTGAGCAAACATTAAAGTTTATTTTTAATGTTAGCCATTATCACAAATCCTAAGTAACAGGGTAACCAAATGAGCTTCAAATGAAATTGCACACTAGCAAAAAGGTAGAGTGTGTTGAGTAATTCTGGTGTCTGAATTACTGAGCAGAACATCACCTTAGGAACTACGAAGTCTGAATTCTGGTCTCACCTCTGCACTTGGGCAAAGCTTTTCTATCAGTGGGCCTTGTAGATAAACATACATCTGTCTTGTAGATAAACATACATACTTTCTAGTTCTCTGCCTTTGGTGAGACTACAGGAGTAAACTGGAGTAAACTGTAAAAGAGGCCCAGTTGTCAGCTAAACAGTGGTCTGCCGCTATCAGATCTACAAGACACCCCCCCAAATAAATAGCGAATTTAGCATAAACCCTGCTCTCAGGTAGTTATTTGGTAGACTTATAATTTTAAAACCTCAACCTAAAGGGTTATTAACAAAGTTCCACACCGACTATAATACCAGTTCAAGACCTCTATCTGTCATAAAAGAAATGCAAACTACTGAGATGAAAGTTGCTGAAGATTACAACCAACTTGGCATATAAAAACTAGTGGTAGAAGGTCTGCCACCATGTAAGGAAGGACAACCATGAGCTTAAAGAATGCAAGACGAATGTTGGTCACAGAGGTCCTGTTGCTTCTAAGATACTGCCTGTTGTCCTGACTGGCATTTGTCCTCTTGTTCTTTGCTGATGTGAGCTGCTTCTTTTCAGCTGCCATGTGAAGACCAGATAATCCTCCTCAAAGGCTGTTGCATGGAGATCATGTCCCTTCGAGCTGCTGTGCGCTATGACCCAGAAAGTGAGACTTTAACATTGAATGGGGAAATGGCAGTGACACGGGGCCAACTGAAAAATGGGGGTCTTGGGGTTGTGTCAGATGCCATCTTTGACCTGGGCATGTCTCTGTCGTCTTTCAACCTGGATGACACAGAAGTAGCCCTGCTTCAGGCTGTCCTGCTCATGTCTTCAGGTGAGTGGGCCAAGACTCATTATGGATGTGAAAAGAGCTTTTTGGTTGTCTAGTGCTAATTAAAGTCACTTGATGAGTTTCAATCTTCCTTCAGCTTTACTCTCCTTCAGTGAGAAATTAGGGGTTCACCAATGGCCTAGGAACTGAAGAGTGCAGGTGTCTGATGCTTTCTCCAATTTCCCAGGGGGCTAGAAAGAAATCAAAGGAGATATCTGAAAGACACTATGAAATGCTAACACCTTCATTAGGAATTATCCAGCCTGTTTCAAAGTATTTGCCCAACCCTGCTTCCTCCTGCTTTTATGTATACAAAAAATAGGGATGTGAGTGACCACACCTTTCTGATAAGTTCTGTGTGTGAAACCATGTGTGAGAGCCAGAGTTTGCTCATGGTTCAGCTACAACTTGAGTTTCAAGTATCTATTGCCATGTAGCACAACAACCCAAAACTTACAGGCTTAAAACATCCAAGATGTCTGAGATAGCAAACACAGCTTCAGACCTTTCTGTTTGTGGTCTTCCCTCATGCAGGGTAGTTAGACGTCTTACATGACTGTTGGATTCCAAGAAAGTCTCAAGCACACAAAAGCAGAAGCTGCAGGTCCTATTCTGTAGTCACACAGTATCACACCAGCCCTAGTGCCTGAGTTCACCTCTGGATGGGAGTACTGTAATAGCAAAGAAGACAAAGCCATCTTTAACCCACCATAGCTCACTCTCAGAACTTCTCCTGTGTGTGAAAGGGAGACAACAATGCTGACAGTTTTCTTCAGGGATCACGAGCCTTTGGGCAGAGTTTGGTTTCAGAGCCGTCCTCTGTATTCTCAGAGTAGCTTGAGTTTAGCTGGGCTCCAGCCTTTGTCTATAACTCTGGGCTTAGCTTATCCATATCTCCCTCGGCACTGTATATCTTTTGAAGACAGAGATGTATCTAATTGTATACCTAGCACCTGAGCCACTGTTCAGTAGAATTCAAGAAATGTTTATTGGATGAATAGCTGAACACATGCGTAAAATACCACTCATGAGTACATTGGGAATCCTTTATATAGTTGATGATTTGTAGTTAACTCAGTAGAATTCCTTTTTTATTTTTAGGTTGACTTAGAAATTTACTTCCTATAGAAAGTTTAGATATGGTAAAATTTTGAAAAAGGAATTATTTTATTATGGAAAATTTCAACTATAAATAAATGGAATAATATAATGAGCCCTCTTATAGACTGGCAGACAGACTCTAGGGGACGCCATGTTCACATCATTGTGTAATCTCCTCTCCTTCTGCATTTATAGAAACTGGGATTTGCTTTTAACCAATAGAATACTTCAACTCTGATGCCACCTTTGGTTACGGACAATGTTATGCAATGTAAGATTCTTGCTAGCAGACTTGCTGTACAGACCTTTCTGGCTCCACGAGGCAGGTGGCCAGGTGAGGAAAGTTCACATGACAGGAAAGTGCAGCAGCCTTGAGGCCTGAGGGGGCCTGCTGTAGAGCCAGTGAGCAGCCACAGCCCTCAGCCCTTTGGGGGATTATGCTGTTCTCAAAGAAATAAGACTTAGAGCCTATCTTAATACTCCCTGCAAGACCTAGCCTCTGTGTGCTTCAATGACCTTTAAAATAAAGGAACTGAACTATGTATGTGGGGATTATTTTCATGGAAGTCCTCAAGGTAACTTTTTAGCTGATACTTTAATGGACAAAAACAGTTTTTAATAATAAATAAATCACACAGAGAGAAAGCTATTTCTTCTGCAACTTGTCTCCTAAATAAGGCAAGGAGAGAGTCAGTGTGCTACTAGTCTGACTTTAACGCTTCTGCTGCACTTGCCACCTTCCCTTTTGAACAGTGAGATAGGGATCTCAGGCACACAATCTTTGCAAGAGGCTTTAGTTTTAATAACTTGGGTTTTATTATTTAATAAGGATTTTGTCATGGATCAAGTTTTGTGGTTATCTTCTGTTTATGACAAATGGATTTTTGTTCCTGAATATGTTTCCTCTGCAGTGAGTCAGATGATTAAATAAACGATCTAAGTAAGATTACATGATGAAGGAGATGGTGATGACAAACACCATCAAGCACCTAACTGAATTATACTTTCCAAGTCTGCCTTTGTGAGGTTGTCGCTGCCTGATAGTCACATGACATATCTTATAATTTTAAAATATCCCCCATCCTAATAATGTGGGTCTTTTTCAATGATACTGCCAGATCCAGAAAAAATATAAGATGTTGTACATTTGGCAAATGATAACTACATATCAAAGTTCCAATGTTCCAATCCCTCCTCAGCCCTGTCTTCTAAGCCCCAGGGTACGTTTGGCATTTCAGTTGCACAAAGGCCCTCTCAAGAGTGCTATTGCTGGGCTCCATGATCCTGAAGAGATATACAGAGGGCAAAAGTGGAAATGATTCCAAAGATATTTCTTTGAGAACTTTGGCCTTAAGGACTTAAAAAAAGGCTTTGGTTTTTAAAATGTTTGCCTCTTCATAACTTTTTAGTATGAACTGAGCATCATTAAAATGTCATTTCTTTCTATTTCTTTTATATGACCATTTTATTTTTCTCTCTCATCAAAGGACAGAGTTTTGATGCCACAAAACCCAAGCTATATTTTCTCTTTGAAGAGAGACATCCAAAGCAATATTGTGTTGATTTTCTTATAATATCAAAAGTTGCAGGATCCTGGAGAGAATTCTTACACACTCAAAGAAAAAGAAAAGACAGGAGAGGGAGACAGAGTGGGCAGACCCACAGAGAAGCATTGCCACATACAAAAGAAAATAAAATTAAAATGCACAGCTTGCCATTTGAGCCAAATAGAGGATTCCAAAAACCCATAAAGTTTGTTTAGTCTTAGAGTGATGATTGAGATTTAGCCTTGTTCCTTCCTTTCAGATGAAGCAGAATTCTGTAGCAACTGGTCTCTGGGGTGTGGATTCATTTGACCAGAGCTACAAACAGCAAACTGAAGAGAACCGAGCAGGAGGATGATTGAGATTCCTGAATATTTGAGGAATTCACCCAGGTTTATAAATTATTTTGCTATCCAGGTGTTTGCAGCCTGGATATTCCCCAGTCATTCATCCTTTTTGTATCATCCATTCATTAATTTTATTGAAACTGGTCAGAGTCCCTTCCCACATACTATGGGAGGACCAGTGGTCTCTCCTCCTGCTCTGGCTTCCCAGTATGACTAGTCTCTTCTCCACATAGGGTAACTCCAGCACAGCTCAAGTCTCCTTTTCTCTTCATTTTAGTTCCCTAAATCGCCACCAACACAAGGCTGCTACAGGTAGCAGACAGATATAGATAGATATAGTAGTCCCTCTTTATATGAGGTTTCACTTTCCTCAGCTTAAGCTACCTGCAGTCAAGCATGGTCCAAAATTACTTGTAGAAAATTCTAAAAATAAAAAATTCACAACTTTTAAATTATGTGCCATCATGATTACTATGATGAAATATTGTACCATCCTACTCCTTCTGACCTGGGATATGAATCATCCCTTTAGTCAGCATATCCATGCATATACCATGTCCTGTCAGTCACCTAGTAGTCACCTCTGTTTTCAGATCAGTTGTGGTAGTATCGCCAGGCATGTGTTCAAGTTACCCTCATTTTCTTGATAACGGCCCTGTTTTAGTTGCTTTCCTCATCATTGGCACAATCAAAAACTTAAAGGAAGAATGGTTTGTTTTGGCTCATATTTCAGAAGTTTCAGTCCTTGCATGGTTGGCAGCATGGTAGAAGGGCCTGGACCGAGGAAAGCTACTCACTTCATGGCAGCCAGGAAAGAGAGACAAGCAAGAAACCAAGAAGGGAGATACACTTTTCCAGGCTGGGTCCTCAGTGACCCACAGCTACAGTGCCCTGTGATCCCATCACCTTCCAAAACCCCACTGAGTGCATGAGGCTCATAAGGGGGCATCTAGATAAAGACCCTAATAGCACCAAAGCACAAGAGTAGGAATGCAGGCAATTTGGATATGCCAAAGAGAAATAAACAGTGCTTTCTTGACATGAAAAGGTGAAAATACAAGAAGATATTTTGAGAGGGAGAGAGAAAGCACATTCACATAGCTTTTAGTACAGTATACTGTTATAATTGTTCTCTAATCTCTTACTGTGCCTAGTTTATAAATTTTTTTTCTTAAATTCTTTTATTGGTACATTTTAGGTATACAACACATTTACATTTCAGATTGGGAACTTGTACCTTTACATGATGCATCTTGGTTCTTATTTTTTCCCCATTCTTAGCCCTCCCTTCACCCCTCCACCCTTCCCTATTTACAAAGACTTTATTTCCATTTTTTCCATTTCTCAGCATTTTTCCTTTCCCTTCTTTCCTTTCC